TTGTACAGGAAACTAAATGATTAAAGGGAAGGCAAACAGTCAGAGTTCAGCAAAACGCTGGAATGAGGGAATTTCCAGAGACCAAACACTGAGTCAGAGTGTCAGGAGCTTCACATAGCAGTGAAGTTAGGGTCTGTGTTATACGTGTGGTCTGGAGTGTATCTGAGAGCTATTTGTGCGCGCATGCGTGTTTCTCTCTCGCTCGCTCTCTCTTGCGCGCTCTCTCTCTCCCCCTCCCTCCCATTTAGATTTAAAGAAATTTATTAAGCTGCTCCTCACAAGCCACAGAAAGGATTCTTTACTATGATGTACAGGGAAATAGAGCTCCAATTCACAAGAAAATTGAGAAAAATCACAACAGAGAACTTGATGCCACACTCCCTATAAGATCCAGAGTTCCTGGTTTCCAGTTCTCTTCCAACTGCAAACACAGAACAAAACGACCAAATCCAGTAATGACTGAAAGCCTGGTAAGAGCAGGCCAGGAACGGCTGCTCCTTATTCTGTCTCTAGTACACCAGCACATCCTGTGCCCCACCTGAGGACACGTGCGAATGGACAACCATAAAATTTTTTCCTTTTTTTTTAAAATGAAGGACAACTGCTCATTAGTTCTGTCAACTTCAATTCTTAGTAGAAATAAGTTAATCATAAACCCAGCACTATCTGATCTACGTTAATCCAAGATGTGTTTACAGGAAAGAATGTTGTTTTGTCAATGTTTAAGGGTTGAAAAGTACTTTGTGGCACTGGAACCCAGCCACCTCCCTGCCCTCCACCATCACTGGGATGCCAGGAAGACCGGGCCGTTCTGCATCTGCTTAGAATTCAGGTAAGGCTTGGCACGGCAGAAACAGCTGCATCTCTTTATCTAAGGGACTTCCGGCTCTCAGTGGTTGTTGGGCAACCAACAACACACAAATGAGAGGGGTGCTGGAGGCAAAGGCGGTTTCCTGTGTACCCCTTGCCCTACCATCTACACAGCTCTCTGAGAATAACGACAGACACTATAATGGCAGAAGGGTGGAGGTGCTCTGGGAGCACAGAGAAGCCAGCCTAGATGTAACTAGAATCTTAAGGGGGTGGGGGAACAAAAGTGGGACTCCCCGAACTGATCACTGATCGCACAGATTTCGTGACCCAAACCTCGAAACAACAGTATTTTTTAGTAGAAAAAGGAAAAGGGAAGACTACCAGGGAGCAGCTGTTTCCCTATTAAGAAATGTAAATGGAATAATTTTCCTAGAGGCTGAAGTAGGAAGGGAGGGACAGAGTTGTGAGAGAAGAGTAATTTCTTTTAAACAGTAAAGGGCCTTTTCTATCCATGCATGTGTATCGGTTTAGTATTGTTTTTAATGGTGTGTAATTTCATTCGTATTATTTGTACAGTGAGATTTGAGGCTGTAATTGTTTTCCTTTTTATACTATTATGTGCTTTTAAAAAATGACAGTTTATAGATACATGTTTTATTTTACACATGCAAAGAAAATAGGAATTCTGGCTGCTTAGGGCCCTTATTAGGCAATGGATATGAGAATTTTTCAGAAAAGGAAGATAGTGTGCTATACGTTTCAAAATTACTTAACTACATAATCTGTTTTAAAAAAATATAAACAGAGACCAATATTTTACACAAGAAATGTTAGAAAATTCTGACTCATCAATCAATAAAATGTCAATGGAATAGAAAAAATAAATAAATAAATAGTAAAGGGCCATTTGGGAAGGTTCTCCTTGCCCCTGTTAAGAGGGTCAGAGCCCTGCATGCGGGAGTGTGCAGGGGAGGACCACGATGGTGAGGACAATGCAGAGTTCAAAAAGCTCTGCCTTCACACCCTGGGTCTCCACCTCCCTGCAGTCTGAGGCAGAACATGGTCTTGGAGCGACTAGAATCCTAGTGTGCTACTTATCTGTGCTATGATCCCAGGCAAGTTAGTTAATTGGCCTCTCTGAGCCTTGGTTTCCTCGAATGCTAAAGGAGGGTAATGTCATCTACTTAAGAAGCCTTATATATAAAGCCAGATTTCAGCCTGTGTCCCAGTGCCTGGTGCTGAGTAGGGGTCTTCCCTTGTCTTGGCCTCTCCTGCTTCATTATCCTCCCCTGCCTCATGGGTAACATGAGATCATGCATGCAGCATCCCCAATATAGATGAGATCATGCATGCAACATCCCTAATATAGATGAGATCATGCATGCAGCATCCCTAATATAGATGAGATTGTGCATGCAGCATCCCTAATATAGATGAGATCGTGCATGCAACATCCCTAATATAGATGAGATCGTGCATGCAGCATCCCTAATATAGATGAGATCATGCATGCAGCATCCCTAATATAGATGAGATCATCCCTAATATAGATGAGATCGTGCATGCAGCATTCCTAATATAGATGAGATCGTGTTTGCAGCATCCCTAATATAGATCTTGCATATGGCAGATACTCAACACATGCTTATACCTAACCAAGTCAGTCAGCCAGAATTGCTTACCTATAGCAATCATTGTCACCCCCTTATAGAGTTGTAATGTGACCATACATAATTCAGACTTTTTGGATTTCAATTTTTTAATTATTATAACACACCAAAATTAATTTATTTGTGCATAAGCTGCTTCTCTGCATGATGAGTTAGTTCCTTGGGATTAAATCCCAGAAATGGAATTATCATGGAAAAGGGTATAAAAATTTTAAATGTTTAAATATTATTGACACATTAGACTATCCAGAAGCTTTTTACTCATTTAAAAAAAATGCCTACAGTATGAGAATTCCTGTTACACAGCTCTATCACTATACCAAATATTCTCATTAAAAAAAAGAACAACTGTCAATTTGATAGACAAAACAGGATATCTAGTTTTTTTAATTTGCATGTGTGATTACCTGTGATGATGACTGTCTTTCAGGCTCATTTATCTTATCTGTTTTTTCTTTATGCTTCATCTGTTTATATCTTTTGCTCATTTATCAACAATGGCAGTAGTATTTCTCTTATCGATTTATTAGGCAGAACTGACTTTTTTTAAACGCCTACAATGTTCACCATTGTGTAGGAGGTAGAGGAGAATGGGGAGCACAGGAAAGTTCCTACAACCCCCCCCCGATTCCCAGAAGAAAATCTTTTCTGTTTTTAAACTATTGGATCATGATAAAACTGTCAATTATAAACCAAGGAAACGACACCATTTTTTTCCTTTATCTGTCCATTTGTAAATTTTTCAGCAGGATAGGAAAGTACGACACCACGGACATAAGTAAGCTGTGTCCCTGTGCCAGACAGTGGTCGGAATGTGCACTGTTTCATTTAATCTCCCAATATCATGTAGACTTAGGTATTATTCTATCCATTTTATAGGTGAGAAAACTGAGGCTCAGAAGGGTAAAGCAACTTGCCCCAGGGAATATATGATTTGCCCAAGATTTTACAGCCAATACGTGGCGGAAGCAGAGTTGAGACCCAGTAGGTCTAACTGCAGAACTCAGCCCTTCTTAATACCATAAAAGGGTTTGTTGGTCAGGACACCAAGTCAGGGCCTGGTTGACAGAAGGCAGCATCTGCAGTACACACCGCACCACCACCATCGCACCGCTACCATAGAGCAGCTTGTATTAAAAACTATGCATAAAAGTCAGGGGCAAAGGAGAGGGAGGGGCCCACCTCCCCTGCCTTTAGATGGTGCGCAGTTCACATGCTGCTGAATGGCTGGATGACCCGGCAATAGAAGGCTGTCCTGGATCCTCAGCCTGGGGGTAGAGAAAGGAAGCAGGCTGGGGGATGGATAGGGGAAAAGGGCCTGAGATTGTGAAGATTGTTTCTGCCAAAGCTACAGGAAACTGGAGGCCCAAACACTGCTCTCTTGGCTGCAGCTGCAGCAGCCAAGCAGAGCAGGGTGAATAACTGTCTTTTGAAGTTGGAGTTTGACAGGGATTTTCCTGTGCTGGGAGCTGGTAACTCAGAGGCATTCCAGAAATCCCCGAGCTCCCTTTTCCTCCCCCCTTAACCCCCAGAGATGCTTGGGGAATCAGGAGGCTGATACCGTGGAAGCCCCCGCTGCCAGTCCGCCTGCCACTCACACCTGACGCCTTGTCCTCCCTCAGACCCACCCTGGAGCGCCCTGCCTGTTCTACCACTCACCGAGAAGGAGGCTGATCTGAAGCAGGAGGACCTGGGTAGGGAGCCAGCTGCTGCCTGAGGAGTCCATGCCGCCTGGTGACTGAGGTGAGACCCTGGCTCCTCCTCTGCCTCGCTCTGCCCCACCCTCCCTCCTGTCGTGGGCTCTCCTCCTCAGTCCCTTCAGTGCATACTAGAACCTCTCCTGATAAATCAAAGGAAACGCACATTTGCAAAAATAAGGATGTTTTTCTGATCATAGGAATAATTCACGTTGATTATATAAAAGTTGGAATACATAGAAAATTATACAGACGAATAAAATCACTCGTTATCACATCTCACAAAACTAACCATCATAAGTTTTCTTGTGTAGTTCCTCTGGATATGCTTTTCTGTGCATTTTAAAGTAAGATTTTTTTTAAAACGTTATTTTTCTACATCAAGTAGTAGTTTCCACAGTATGTTATGAGATGATGGTGGTCTAAGAAGAATATAGAATAAATGTCTATAATATTTTTACTTACAATAAGAAAGAAATAAGCCCTTCCTAATATGTTAATAGATTTTCCCTGGCACCCTGGTTTGTTCTGTTTGTCAGACAGTCGTGTGTGTGTGAACTCCTCCAAGAGAAGAAGACAAGGCCCCAAGGCCAGGGTTGAGTGTGTCCCAACCACTCCTGGATTAATTTCAGATGATTGCTGTCTAGCGAGTATGGATATCATCGAACTAACCCACACACGATAGTTAAGATATTTAAAAAGATTTTTCTTCTGATTTGTAGACTGAAGACACATAATACAAACCAATAAGAGAAAGGCAGAACCAACGACCTTTTTCACACACCTTTTCAGCAGTAAATTATGAAGTAAAATAAATCCAATTAAATTGGACAAGAAGCCACCTAAATTCAAAATGTTCCAGAAGACTATATGAAATATGGAGTTGCCTCTACTAATGTTAATAATAACCCTAACTATAAATGCACATCGAGCCTTGCAGTATTAGCTAATGTTACAAGAAGCCGTTATGAACTGCAAGATATTATCATAAAATATTATTTATTTCATGAATATGGATATCTTATATTTGTAAAGAGTTTATTTTTTAGTGTATGCCTTAAAATGTAAAATTCATAAATCAATTCATATACATATGGTGGAATTGCCTTCTTACAACCTTTTAACTTATTTTTCACAGCCCTGTCATAAAAAATTTGTAGACCACTAATACAGACTCTATTTCCTTTGCCTTCCCTGCCTCCTAATGATTTTGAAGGTAAACATTCCATTTTCAATTTTGCTAGTAGTTTCCTGTAAATCAAAAAAGAAAGATAGTTCGAATCTCTTTTTCCTCTAATCATCAATGCTATGAAAAGAATGTTATCATTTACTTTCCCCTGTTAGATGAGAATTGAACACGTCTCTCTCTTTCTCTACCATTTCCCAGTTTTTGTTGATATAATTTGGAGTTTTATATACAGTTTATACCTATTGATTCCTGTTTACTTTATATCCTCTTTTTTAGATGTTTAAAAATATTTACATTACGAATTTGGTTTTCCAGCAGCTTGAGAAGAATATGTAGAACTGTGGCCAAACCCTAGTTTACTTAAGAAAAAAAGAAGTTCTATATAAGGTCATGTTCTGAGACTGGAATTGGATCTGGAAAGCCCAAGAGGATGAAAACTAAGATCATTTGGACTATTTACATCATTCTTCTATTTTAAAGCAATGTTACAACAAACATCTGTGTCAGTTAGAAATACACTTGGTTGCTAGTGAGAGAGACACAGGGTAACCGAAACAAACTATAAGCTTTTTTTCTCTTGTATTCAAAAAACTCTGTAAAGAAGTACTGCAGGGCAGGAATGATGACTCTACAAAGAATCAGGGTCTTAGGCACCATATATTTTTCTGTTCCTTAGTATGTGGTCTCTATTCTCAAGGTCACAGAATAGCTGCTGGAACTCTTGCCATCATGTCCAAGTTCCAGACACCAGGAAGAAAAAAGATGTGGAAGGGAAAGAGTTTTTCCTCAAGTCCCACCAAATGACTTCTGCTTCCATTTTACTGGCCCTCCCTTTCTTACAAGGGAGTCTGGGGAGAGGAAATCGTTAGTTAGGCACATCACTACAACCAAATACACAGTTAGGAAGGGAAGGGATTGATAGTGGGTAGGCAGCTAGCAGTTTCAGCCACAACACACTTAAACATGTTTCTTTTCTCATGCATATAGTGTTGCTTCTGTTTAGATATATCCCTGGAAATAGAATTTCAAGATAAAAGTGCATTGTACATTTACAATATTAATATACTGTCAAATTGTACTCAGAAATGGTTGTGCATGTTTATATTCCCACCAACAGTCTATGAGAGTTCCCATTTTCTGCAGCCTTGTCCATACTGTATATTATTAACCTGGTTATCAATTAATACATAAAAAAATGGTATATTGTTTCACTTTTTATTTCCCTGATGACTAGTGGATTTGAACATCTGTTTGCAAGTTAATTTGTTGGCTTGAACAAAAAGGGCTTTGTCTAGGGAAAAGACTCTTCCCTTCTTTCCTGTCTATCCCCTCCTTCTCCCCCCGACCCCTTTCTAACTGCCGCAAGATAAGACAAGACTTAGTTCACAGGGAGCGTTCAGAACTGGAGAACGTGTAAAAAGCTGATTGAGCTGATACAGACAGATTCTGTGACAGTGTCTGAGGGAGAAATTGAATTCTTTTCTGTACTGAGTAAAATTAAGACTAGGAGGAAAAGGTCAAAGGAGAGGTTTGCTAATCAGAGTCATGAGGGGCTGCGTGAGAAGAGAGACAAAGAAGTGGTTGTTTAGAATGTTCGAAGAAATGTTGATTCAATTCCTGTACAGGACTCATAAAGAAATCCCTATCTGGGATTTTCTTCTGTGAGAGGAGGAGCAGCCATGGCTGAGAAGAGGAGCATCAGCTCAGTGCCTAAGGCTGGACGGATTCGTGGTACTGTGGACTCGTGGAGCTTGCATAAGGAGGGACATTTTGAGCTTCTATCCAACACAGAAACCCTGCATGCACCGCTGATTAAGGGGGCCCTTGTCACAGAACACTCCCAAGGATAGGGAGGTCACCTGGCCCAGCATCTTTTGGTAACTCAAATACCGACTTAATCAAACTTGGTCTGAAACTCGCTTTTATAGCCCACGATGGTCCAAAGCCATCCTCTGTCTTCAGTAATTTTTGAAACCTAACCCTTCATAATCCCTTCCCCACACTTTCTCCACTATATCCCTCCTGATGTTTCAGCTCTGCCCCGTTTCTATTCCAATAAAATGGTCCACTTGAGCCAATCATCTCATTAGCTTAATAACTTTGCCAAACATCTGGAGGTTGTCATGGGAGAAATCCCACTGCACAGCCACTTCCGTCCTGTTGGCACTGCCCTCACGGTCTCCTTTCAAAGCCAACTTCTCCTAAAGGTGCCTCTTCCCACCAGGCACAGCCCCCTTGGAGACGGGTATAGCCTCTCTATTGCAATTGCTTGTCTCATGTCTTCCTCATGCTAGTCAACCTTGCTCAGCCTCTTTGGGATTTTGGTGAATAAAATTTTCTCCATCTCATTATATCTTCTCGGAAAAATACGTGTAACTCCTTGCAAATTCTCTCATCCAAGGGTGAGAAAGGAGAAGATAAATCACAACATTTGCTTGTGATGTGGGGCTCCTCTGTCCTATGCAATATCACACTCCCTCGTCTTTCTAATGGTGGGGATAGAACTCTTCTCTGGGGCACTATCGATGGTCGTGTAACTTTATGGTCTTTCATGCCTCTTAACCTCTCCTTGAGGGCACCAGCCCATCCAGTCTGGCTTTATCCATGCAACTCAGTCAGGCAGGGATTCCCCTTCATCATCAGGAGGTGCTAGGGGGTTCAAGTTGGGGAATGTACAACTATTGTTTGATCAAAACATGCAGCATTCAGGTTTAGAGCTGATCTTCTGCCACATGTCTCCTCTTTTCAGAGTCAGCTACCACCCTGGTATCATGCTCCTACTTGCTGGAAGACAGCATCATTTATTGGGTGCCCTGCCTGCGTCAGCCCTTCTCCTGTTACAAGAGGAGCAGAATAGTTTCTCTACTAAGGTCTTTTAGCTCTAAGTCTAGAACTGTTCTTCACTGTGACCCCTCCCCCCTCATTTCTTGACTTTAATTTCTGAAAGCCTAGGATGGAGATTGTCTCCAGCTTCAGTCAGCTACAATTCAGCAGTCCCCAACCTTTTTGGCACTAGGGACTGCTTTATGGAAGACAATTTTTCCATAGACCAGCACAGTGGGTTGAGGGGGATGTTGGTGGAGCTCTGCGGCCTGGTCCCTATCAGGCCACGGACCTGGTACCAGTCTGCAGCCAGGGGTTTGGGGACCCCAGTGCTATATGATACTCTTTCTTGCCTGAAACAAGCACAAGGGACTTTGAGTCCCACGATGGAGGCAGCACACTGATTTATCTAAATCTATTCCACATATACTAGGACTGCTAGGTACTAAAGCCTGAGTGGTCACACCTGTGATAACTCCTTGCTCCTACTCCATATGCATGAAGATTAGTGGACAAAGTGTAATGCAATACCTCTTAAACATTTGGTCTGATGCTTCTTCTCTAGCTAGAAGTGGGAGTTCTTTATATCCTCTCCTGCAGGACATTGCTTTGCAGAAATCTACCTATAAGGGCTCAACATAGCTGCATTGCCTCCATATCCCTAAACAAGAACTGGTACCCCCCACCCAGCATCTAGCCCACTCATTTGATCTATTTGACAAATATCTTACTGTCTCTTCATGCTTCTCAAATAGCTTTAATAGCTTTACCAAGAACAACACTTGGCAGGCCACTCTGGTGAATTCCAGGCCTCTTCTATAAGACTTCGTTATAGCTTCTCCTGTAGTGCTGTGGTCTAGCCAGAGATCCCCTCATCACTTCTGGTATCTCACTGAATAAATCTCTCTAATGTCAAGCCCTGGATAGGGGCCTTTCCTTCCTTTTGGCTGATGTGTGGTCAGAAACCCAATGTGTGAGTCTCTCTGACTATTGACATTGTGAAACACCTGTTGGAATCCGGCCAAGTATTGACTTCACAGAAAAGCCTTCCAGAAACCCTGTTCCATCAAGTGAAGCAGGTAGGACCCTGAGTTAGCCCAATGCTGACCACAGACCACCATTCCCTTTCCAGGAAAGTTTCTAGTTTCTTAAGGAATTGTGGTTCTACTGGGTAAACACCAGTTTCCAGCTTACAGCTTCATGAGTAATTTCTTAGAATTTACTCATTCAAGTACACTCACAGGACAATATTTCAGGGTAAGAGAACTGAACATACTTTATTTAACATTTATTAGCTTGATTTATAACTTTTCAATATGTGGACATATGATGTGGATCTCCATTTGTACTCTTGCCCTGGGTTCCACAAATGTTAGAGATGGTCTCAGCAGCAGGTGTAGGTGCGTTGTTGTGAGCAACCTGCTCACGTAACTTTTTGTGTTTTGAAGTCCTGCTTGAGCTGCTCTTGTATATATAACTTCCACTTGATAATGAAATGCTATTGGACACACCTGATGGTATGGTTTCATGGATTAGAAAATACCCAGTTGAGAGTGGGCAGCTCAGGTTGCATGGTCGGTGTGTGTCCCATGATCAGGTATTAGCCTCTACTAGAGTTCAATAGCAAACCTAAAGCTATGTGAGAAGAGAGTTACTTTCTGAAGAAGATGTAGTTCTGCTTAACATTCGAGGAACCTCTATTAGGTTTTTTTTTCCATCTCAGTCTGGCATAGTTTCAGAGAGCAATCAGATGGCTCAAGGTCACTTCAAACATCTTTGGATTATGAATAAGAATAAAATCCTAAGTCCCTCGACCAACTTAACAGACCCCCTCTTGGCCAAGGGAACCCCAAAGAAACGTTAAAAACTGCATTTCTGGCCATGACAGAATGGGAGGTCGAACACCTTGTTATACTCCCTCCCTTGCTAACTGCCATTAGACTTCCTTTCTCAAGAGTTAAACAGAAACCAGCCATTTCCAAAGACTTGCTTCACCACTGATTTCAACCAACTGCCCAGCGCTGCAGCTGGATTTCCTTCCCTTCTTGCCGTTTTGAGATAGCAACTGACCAATTTCACAGCACTTTTCTTCCCAATTTTTGGCTACCAACCATGGACTGATTCTGGCTGGTTTACAGTGGCTGTGCACAAGATGCCTCTGTGTCCCCCGTTTCACCTTTTGACACATAGAGCCTAATTTGAATGCATTTAAATGTTAAGGCTTCACCCCAGAGTGAACATGGGACATATATAACAGGCATGCTTGCTTACTACATATGCATGCCACCTCTTCGTGAATATTCATAGCTCCTCCTATAACCTGTTGAATATGTATAATTAGCCAACCCATTCAGCACAAATTCCTGTCTCACCCTTCTTCCTTTGAAGTGACTGCTTTTGGTCCTATAGAGGCCAGGCTTCCAAGCCTGCAGGGTGGCCAGCCTGCAGATTCAAAGCTGATTGTCTAATGCGGCAGTCCCCAACATTTTTGGCACCAGGGACTGGTTTGGAAGACAATTTTTCCACGGACAGGGGGTGAGGCAGGAAGTGGTGGTGAGTGTTGGGGAGTGGTTGTAAATACAGAAGAAGCTTTGGGGACTCACCCCCACTCACCTCCTGCTGTGCAGCCTGGTTCCTAACAGGCCACAGTCTGAGCTCCCAGGTCTAAGGAGTACTCAGTGAATGGGCTGACATAGTACACCCAATGGTCATGTATATCGCCTTCAAATACAAGAAGACCTACAAAGCATGGTGTCTGTTAATGATAGTACACTCAAGGTGAAGCAAATTTGCTTTTATCTTTGAGGGAATGTGCTCATATTCTCCAAATGACTGGACTCCTGGAAACTCTACTGAGGTGTCAGGCCCATTAACTTTCATATCTTCCATTCTCTGGTGCTTCTGTACTGTACTAGGGCATCTAGGGTCCCTGCTATTTGCTTCGCACTATATCGAATCAACATGACATAATCCCTATGGTAGCTCAGAATGACGGCAGATGGGATGTGGTGTGATCAAGCTCTCTGTTACAATTCTTCCTCCTTGGTCTAATACCTTGATAATCTATTCCCACTAGTGTTTTCCAGATGTTTGCAGATATAAATTAACAAAAGCTTACAAGTCTTTTGGTGTGAAAGCCTTCTCCTCCCAAGTTTGACTATCTAATTGAACCCTGGGACAAGCAGGGA